GATGCTGCGTTGTAGCTCGTGTCGTTCTATGTAATATGTATATATGTTTTTTTTTTTTTTTTCCTTTTATGAATTTCATAAGATAACGCTTTGAAAATGGAACACATGCATGTTGCCACCTCACTACCTTTCAATTTGTCGCTTCGTTAGGTGTCTACCGATAGTAGGCTAAGTTGGAATGCGGATACATCGGATGTTTTTGGTTTTCAAGGTTACAAATAATAAATTTACAAAAACTTTTTGACAATATTTTCGATTCTCTTTTAAATTATCTTCTTCTAGTTTTTATATTTTGTTAAAAATGCTGTAAGTAGTAAGTAAATATTAAAATATTTATACTAGACCATACATCAAATTCAATTTTATCGAATTTGGATGCAAAAATGTATAGCTTACTCTTTTTTAATTTGCATAAAAGACAATGTATGGTTTGATACATAAGCAAAAATGATTAATAATTAAATATCAAAATAATTCTGATAATTTGAAACTCTCCGATATTCTTAATAGAATTTTGTAATAATATTGTAAGTTGTAAACGTTAATTTTATTTAATAAAATTTGAGTGAGATACTGACTAATACTATTAATGAGATTCCTTATTCTATATGTTTTTAGATATTGACCGGTTCGGGTAGTTTAACATTTTTGTTTTTGGGCAATGATTCCAAGTATCTCGTGATGCACGCACAGCATAGACTCTTCTGACACATAAGCCCCCTCAATTATTAAACAATTGTCATGAACTCTAGTACTAAAAATATACTACTATCTTACTTTAATTTCCATCTCACAAGTAGTATCCATTTTGAATTATATTTGGGATGCAGGATGGAATGACGTGGCTGCTGAATTCCCCAGAGCAATCTTTAGCCTTGATTTTGGCGGATCACGGTTACGATGTGTGGATAGCCAACACCAGAGGAACCTCGTTTAGTCGCCGACATGTTTCTCTTGATCCTGACAAGCCCGTATGTACAAGCATTATTTATTTTTGTTGCATACTTATATCATACCATGCCAGTTTTAATTGTTAATATCACCTAGACATAGTCTCACTATTTAGTATTTACCGTACGTCACTTTTTAGGAATTCTGGAATTGGACATGGGATGAAATTGCTGCTCGTGACTTGCCTGCTGTTATTGCTTATATCTTCCAACAAACTAGCCAAAAGATCCACTATGTTGGACATTCCCTGGTAAAACATCTATTTTCTATTTTTTATTTTTTTTTTACACAAACTAAATATAGCTTTAGCGACATTTTTTATTGGGCTTAAATAATAGAGGTCGGTTTTGTACTTTTTGATGATGTACTAAAGTACTACACACCACCTAAAGGCTAAAAGCTAAAGAGGAATAAGTACACTAATTTATGTGTTATTATCTTGCTCCAAATTCCAATTGTAGGGAACTTTGATTGCATTAGCCTCTTTTTCTGAGGGGAAACAAATAGACAAAGTGAAATCGGCTGCATTGTTAAGCCCGATTGCGTACTTGAGCCATATGACCACTGCACTTGGTGTTGTTGCAGCCAAAGTCTTTGTTGGAGAGGTATATATTAACATCATTAATACATTATTTTCCATTTCATATCATCCCATATATTTACAATTATGCTAAAAACGTTGTAAAAAATTTTCTCTACAGATTACAATTGTATTTGGTCTTGCCGAGTTCTATCCCAAAGGGTATACAAAATAATTGCTACTTCTTGTTTTAGTTTTTCCTTGATAAAAATTTACAAATGAGCTAATAAAGATATATTGTTTCGATAATAACATACAGTGAAGAAGTGAGCCGTTTCCTGAAAGGCCTATGTGCGGATCCCAAGGTTGACTGTTATGACTTAATGTCTGCCATTACAGGTAAGATATAGTACGTACCCCTACTGTTAATTTGTTACAAATTAATTAATGATTAATTCGATCTGTTTAAGATTCCGGCCTGTATATTTTTATTTTTATATATTTAATTTAACATCATGTATGCATATATGGTTATTAATTTCAAAGGTAAAAACTGCTGCCTCAATGGCTCGACTGTTGATGCTTTTTTAAGAAGCGAGCCTCAGTCTACCTCGACTAAAAACATGGTTCATTTAGCTCAAAGTAAGTTGGTTAAGTTTGTATATATTTATATATTGATCACTTGATCTAATACGTGACACTTTAACACTATGAGTAAAATTAAATGGATCTTGTAGCTGTTAGAGATGGGATTTTGGCGAAATATGACTATGGGAATCCGGTCTTCAATCTGGAACACTATGGCGTACCAAGGCCTCCAATCTATAACATCTCCAACATCCCAAAAGACTTCCCTTTGTTTATGAGTTATGGAGGTCAAGATGCTCTGTCTGACCCCAAAGATGTGGCTACTTTGCTCGATGATCTCAAGTGGCATGATGAAGGGAAGCTTAGTGTGCAATATATCAAGGACTATGCTCATGCTGATTTTATCATGGGTGTAACCGCCAAAGATGTTATTTATGACAAAATCATCTCCTTTTTTACAAGGAACCAATAAATTATAAGATGTGAAACATAAATATAATCATGTAACACGCTCGTTTTTCCTCTCTAATTAATACCAGTAACTAGTCTTGTAGCACCCATGCATGCACCAAATACCTTGATTCATAATCGTACATACAAATGACAAAACACTATATATGTTTCCTGTTATTAATTATATATATATATATATATATATATATATAAGAATTCATGTAAACAAATTAATTATATTAGTGCTTTTGCTTGATAATGAAGTTAAGCAAAAGAGTGCAATATCAAATTCATTTATGATAAGTTTTAAAGGCAAGCAAACTCTTGATGATCAAGACCCCACAAAGATTTTGCTTAGCCGACAATTTATCTAACTGTCTATTGATTTTACAATGAACCTACCGAAAATACAATATTAAGGCATCTTAAAAGTGTAAAATTACAATCATGTCAAGTACTATGACAGGACAGACCACCAATCAATCACGTATGCCATTTGGTACAACAATAATATTAATGTAGTATATATGTAGTGTACATGCTATGTTTGGTTTCATTCATACTCCCATACTCAAATCATTCGATCAAACACAAATGGAGAATAGTGCATATAACATGACGTTAATGATGGTGGGTTGTGTTGGGTTGTTGTTAATGTTATCAAAACAAGGGTCAGCCGAGCAACATGTGGTTGGAGGGAAACAAGGGTGGGCCGAATCGACTGATTTTGACTCCTGGGCTTCGGGTCAAATATTCAAGGTTGGCGATACGCTCGGTAAGCAGATTAAAATATCCATGAGATGACTGATGAGTACTAGATCGATCTTTTGAATGATTTTATCTGATTAACGGTTTTTTTTTTTTTTTTTGGTTGGATTATAGTGTTCAAGTACAGTCCAATGCATAGCGTTGCAGAGCTGGGCAGCGAGAGCGAATACAAGAAGTGCGATGTGGGATCGGCTACGAATTCCATGAGCGACGGCAACAGTGTGGTGAAGTTAACAAAGGAGGGTACAAGATACTTTGCATGTGGTACAGCCGGACATTGCGATAGCGGGATGAAGGTAAAGATCACTACAGTCTCAGCTTCGTCTTCTGGTTCGTCTTCTTCAAACGCGGCACCGACTTCAACTTCAACTTCGACTTCGACTTCGACTTCGGGTGCAACATGTGTTTCAGGATCGTTTGCTTTCATGGTGGTGGGCTCTTTGATCCGACTTTTGTTCTAATTAAGTGAAAAGGCCTAGCGATCGATATGGTCCAAGTTTTACAACTTTGGCGATGTTCATTCTCTATTTGTTTTGATATTATTCATTATCATGTACGCGTTTAGGAATAGAATAAATTTGTTTAACGATGATAATACGTTGTTAGACCATCCACGGTAACACTACAAGAATAACCCGCAATAGCGGTGACGGACACTTTAAGCGGCGACAACAAACAAACGTGTTTTTTGTCGTCGCTAAAAGTGGATGTCGCTGCTAAAGGATTATGTTGGCAATCCACGTCATTTCAATCGTATCCGTCGATTTAAGCTATGATCCAACGACGTAGGAAACACCGTGTTGTTTTCCCTCCGGTGTGTTGCCGCTGATGAGTATCCGTCGCCGCTAAAGAGCGCCGATGATAAAACCCTCTTCGTTCTCACTTTCTTTCCCGATCTTCTGTATTTTTCCTTCTTCTCTTTACTCACCAGCGTCGACATGTTCGGAATTTTACCCATCTTCTCTGTTTTCTCTCCTTTTCTTTTCCTTTTCTCTTCTCCCTACTAAATTTGTGTTGGTTGCCGGAATTTTGAGATCCCCCACCGTTTTCGCCGAAGTATACCGCCACCACTACTATTCTCGCCGGAATTTTGATTTCGTAGATGTGTATTTTGTATTTGTAGATGTGGATGTGTATTTGTATGTGCATTTGTATGATATGTGTATTTTGAATGTATTTTATGCAGTGTTGTAGAAATCGGCATTGGCGGCCGTTTAATCGTTTGGCGGCCTTGAACCGATTACGATTAAGGTGTTTTGCGGAAATCGGTCAAAATAGGGCTTGGCGGTCCATGATCGTCCTCGGCGGTCATAGGCGGGAATTTTAAAAAAAATTCCAAATTTTTAATTTTCAAATATTACACTAAAATTTTAAATTTTCAAAATTTTAAGCTTTCAACTTTTAAAATATTATACTAAAATTTTTAAAATTTCAAATTTTTAAAATTTTAAATTTTCAAATATCAGGGAATATTCATTTTTTAAATAATTTTATTAATAATTTAGGGTTCCCGATTAATGTCCGATTAATCCTCGCCTACTCCGATTAATCGCTTATCGCAGTCGACGGCCGAGCTACCGCCGAGCGATTTTTACAACCTTGATTTTATGTATGTATGTGTTTTTGTATGTATATGTATTTTGTACGTGTATGTGTTTTTGAATATATATATATATATATATATATATATATATATATATATATAGAGCTAGGTTTATTTGTTTAAACTAAGTACTGTGTTATTGTATGCATAAATGTGGGCCAATCAAAATTAAATAAAAAATTAAATAATTAAATAAATAAATAAGGGTAATTTAGTAATTTGTTTAGTAACTTCCAAAATTAATCCCTATAATCATGGTAGACTTTTTAACCTAATCTCTCCTGTTTAAATCTCGTTCCCCTCTTTTATCTAAAACGCCGATCTGATCTCTCCTGTTTAAATCTCGTTTCACTCTTTTATCTAAAACGCCGATCTACAAAGGAAAAGGGATGCGAGTAGCAGCATGTGGCGTGAGATTAGAAGAGAGAGCGATGGGTGAGACCAGAAGAGGGTCCGACGATAGGTGGGGTTTCGGTGGCATTGGCTCGACGGAAGAAGAAGAGGTGGGTGCGGGTTCATTTAGGTCTGCTTCTATCTCTCTTATTCTCCCGCGTTTTAGTATTTTGTGAAGAAGCGTGATTGAATCGTTTCGTTGCAGATCAATGCTTCCGACCTCCAATCTCCACCGCCGCCAGCATTCCGATCAGGTAATGAATTTCCTTTCAAAAATTCCGATTTCCAATTAAGATACGATCGCCGAAAGTCCAATTTCCAATCTCATGAACAATTTCGATTTTTGCCTCCGAAAGAATTCAATTTCAGATTCGCTGTTGGTGGGATTGTTCGCATCAAGACAACAGTTTACAAGACCCAAAAATTTGATTTTTAAACCTCCGATTCTGATTTGAACTCCCGATCGAGCCTAGAACATGAACGCTAGTACTTCGATTTCAATTCGTACGACCGATTTCCGATTGCGAATTTGGTAAATTCCTAGAACTCCAATCGATTTCAACTTATAGGATTGAAATCCAACTTCAATTTCATGAACAGCTTCAATTCTTGCTTTATGAATGATATCAGTTTCGCTTGTGTATCTTGAGGCGAGAGACGAACTTTGGCATCTTGATTTGGCAGGTTCGTTTCAAATCTAGTCAATTGATTATGGAGCGAAAGTGGATATCAGGTTCGTTCCTTCGCTGGAAGTAACATTTTTAACAGAGGTAATAATTAATAATTAATTAAATATACAAATGCAAAATAGTTTTTTTTAATAAAAAAAGTTCAATTTATGTTCAGATTGAACTGCTGTCAAGACTCCATCACTACCATGTGGTGCCATTACTTGGGTACTGTTTAGAATACCAATACCACACAAAACAGCCTGAAATGCTTTTGGTGTTTGAATACATGCCAAATGGCAACCTGAGAGAGTGTCTGGATGGGGTTTCAGAAAAATGTCTAGACTGGGGGGCCCACATTGCAGTAGCCATTGGAGCTGCTAGAGGGTTGGAATATCTTCATGAAGCAGCTGCACCAAGAATCTTGCATAGAGATGTTAAATCCACTAACATTCTATTGGATGAAAACTGGAGAGCAAAGGTGGGAATTGGGAATAATAATTTTTTAATATCACATTTGTGAATATTATTAAGTTTTGATTTTGTTGGTAGATTACTGATCTGGAAATGGCTAAGAGTTTGGTGAAATGATTGGTGAAATGATTAAAATATGGTATATATCACTTCAATGAACAGAAAAATCCAGCAGGAGTACAGAAGCTCATAGGTGGTCAACAGTTGATCTTGACCACCCTCAGATCATAAACAAACATAACTATAGGTACCCTTAACTCATAATTATTCCCCCTTTTTGACTTTCGACTTATGATTTTTAATAATTATTTACTTATTTTCGATCCTTGAATTCTTGAACCAGCATTTTTTCAGCTACATGGAACGTAGGAGGAAAATCCCCTTCCAACAAAATGAATCTTGGTGAGATTCCAATTCTTTTGGAATGGTATCAGGAATTCCAATTCTGTTGGAATGGAATCATGAATTCTAATTCTGTTGGAATGGACAGTTCTGTTGGAATCACAGAAGTTGATGCTTGAAGAACGGACCACAAAATTGAAACGGACCACATTATTCTTTTAGAATGTATTAGTCGTTGTTAGATTTTGATGTTTTCTTTCCCGTTTTGATTGTTTTTTTAGTTTATTCTTTAATAATAAATGTAATTATTAACAATTTTTACCCGTATTCTATAAGAAATAATCTATTTTTTGTTTTTATTCTTCTATTGATTGTTCAAGAATTTGTTATTCTACAAGAAGTTTTTAAATTCATGATCAAGAAATAGGTTCAATAATATTTTTATTATTTATGGTTCAAGAATATTTTTATTATTTATGGTTCAAGAATATTTTTATTTTGAATATACTCACAAACATATTCTGTCAGAATGTCCGAATTAAAAGAATTATAATTCGAAAAATCGGATTTTTAAAATTAATAGAATCTATGATCCCTTAAAAAATGTAATTTTCCTTTATTAAGTCTATATTAATTGACTAAATTACCCTTGTAATTAATTAAGATGATATTTTTCAATTATATTTAATTCAATAATATATATTAATCACTTTCTTAAAATATGTAAATTTGATTGGCTCACATTTATGCATACAATAACACAATAGATACTCTAAACAAAATAACCTGAGCCTATATATATATATATATATATATATATATATATATATATATATATATATATATATATATATGTGTGTGTGTGTGTATTTTATGTGTATATGCGTATTTGTATGTACAGAAATACATATAAATAGCGGTGACACCTTTAGTGGCGACGGAGAGCATTAACGGCAACGAAAGGCAATAGCGGCAACCAATGGAGCATTAGCGACGAACCAACAACGACGATCCTTTAGCGCCGACATGTCGTCGACAAGACCTTTTAGCGGCGACGCCCATCGCCACTAAAGATCGATATTCATGTAGTGTACTCATCACTAACCACTATAGTGTGTGTCACATCATCACCACAGTATCGGTGGGTGTCACATCATCACCACAATACCCATCACTAACCATGAGATACCTACCACTATATATTTCTTATTTTTTATTTTTAAATTATATATATTATTGTAGAGAGAGGTAGCGAAAGTTAGAGAGAGATACAAAGAGATAGAGAAAGAAAAAATGTAATTAGATGTGGTCTTTCGTGGTATACACAACAATGCACTACGACCACTACCAACCACTAAGCACCGGGATGGTGTTTGTGGTTAGTGGTTGTTGCCACCTAGACCACAAAAGGTTTCGTGCTATGTATACCTGATGGCTTTAGACCATCTTGTATGGTTATCACGAGAGGTTTCGTGGTCTACGTGGCCACTAACCATAAATGTGAACACCATCCCAAGGTGTTAGTAATGACTAGTGGTGGAACACTTTCGTAGTCATTTGTGTTGGGAAGCACGGATCATCACACCCAATCAGTTTGTTTCTCTCTCTATTTTTCTCTACCTTTATGCACCTCTCTTTACATTTTAATTAATTAAAAAATATCTTTTTTAATTTTAATAATCAAAAATACGAAGGATATAATGATGAGTATCCCAACCTTTTAGTGGTTGAATGTGATGATGAGTTGGCACCCACCACTACAATGGTTAGTGGTGGGTATTGCGAATGACCTTATTGTTAAATAAGATGCCAATGTATATTTTATTTTAAAATGTTAATCTTATTAATTACTTCCCAAAAATAGTAAAAGATTAGCACAATAACCAAAATATTCACTAATTTGACAAATAACATTTATGAAATTGGCATATCTTCGAAACGGTGATGTCATTGCCAAAACGAATGTATTGTTTGATATGCGGCTGACCGAGTCGGGTCAGACATTTTTGGTTGGCTCGGTCAGCAAAAGGTGTTTGGTAAACCAACTTTGGGCGTCTGAATCGGAAAGAAACATGTGTTTCGGTTAGTAGAAGGTAAATAGTTAACTGAGAAAGGGATATGTGTTTCCATCTTTACCCTTGCCCTACCGTTCCTCTTTCAGCGTCGTCGTCTTCGTTTGATAAAGTTAGGGATTCACACATACTAATAAAGCACCAAGGATCCCGTCGTAAGGCTTCCTAGAAGGATCCAAAAGGACGTATCATTAGCAACATTAAACATCCCAAAAATACGGTCCAAAATTTTTGTTTTAAATTATTATAAAATCATAGTAATCCAATCATCACATAAAAACATAAGTGGTATTATCTCAAAAGATCATGTCAAAACACTGTATCCAAATCATATATCAAAACATCAGAGTAAATCCTCCCAGGCTAAAACGTTGTGGTGTGTGCAATGCAGTCATCCCGAGCTCTTCCCTTTTCTACCGGAAGTATCTGAAACCAAAACTAAAAAGTGTAAGCATGAAGCTTAGTGAGTCTCCCCAAACTACCACATACCATACACATATCATACAACATACAACTAGGAGATACGAGCCTCGCCCACACTCAAGGAGATACGGGCCCCCGTCCACACTCGGCTAACTATGAGATACGGGCCTCGCCCACACTCAGCTATCTCAGAGATACGGGCCTCGCCCACACTCTGCTAACTAGGAGATACGGGCATTGCCCACACTCTGCTATCCGGAGGATACGGGCCTCCGCCCACACCCCGCTACCTAAACATACATACAAGTATCACGCAGACAACAAGTATACCATAATCTACCAATTCATAAACATACTCAGATAATACTAAGATACGGGCCCTGCCCACACTTAGCTACTAATCATAAACAAGTCTAAGATACGGGCCCAGCCCACACTTAGCTACTAATTATAAACAATTCTAAGATACAGGCCCAACCCACACTTAGCTACCCTACACGGGCCGGCATTGGTGCCTTCGACCCATTCCTACTGAAGGAAACTCACCTCGAAAAGCTAGTTGTGAAATCTCGCAGTGAGGAATATCTAACAGCTGCTCCAACGACTCCCTGGCTATCATTACTACAATATTACTTAGTCAAAATCTGATAATCCTACTTAGGGTAAAATGACTATTTTACCCCTGATCAAAGTCAACATTCTGGTCAAAGTCAACATCCTGGGTTGACTTAACTCGCCGAGTTGACTCATTAAATCGCGGAGTTCTATAACTCAAAACCCTGAAATCGCGATCCAACTCGTCGAGTCATCCCCCTGACTCGCCGAGTTCCCTGGCTACTCATATTCGCGATTTGGCGAATCAACTCGTCGAGTCCCTTCACAGACTCGTCAAGTTCATCCTTAAACTGAATCGGGACAAAACGAATCAACTCGGCGAGTCCCTCTCTGGACTCGTCGAGTTCCCCAGTCTGATTGAGCCATCTTAACAGAATAAGCTCCTATCCTTCGGATCCAAACTCCCTACTTCTTCTACATACTAGAAATGCCTTTTTAAGGGTAAAGTTTCCAACTTTACCCGTTATTAGTCCTTCTTAATGCGTTTAGCTAAAATCCTAGTTCTCTAGGACATTGATCTTGGTCCAAAAGCCATAATATCTCAAACTAAAGCATACTAACATAGATCTAGGCCTTAAACATCATTTGAACACTTAAAGCTCCTAACTTTCCTTCCATACACGACCTTTTGGGGCTTAAAATGCCATAATAACACTTTAAAGCTTGCATGGGGCTTCCATGGTCATAAAGTTTGCACCTTTATGCCATGGAACCCCTTCTATACCCTAGATCTGAAAGGTAGATCACTTGGGACGTCCATATCCCAAGGACTAAGCTTCTTGGACCAAAAACCCCATGAAATGATAAGAAAGAGATCTAACAAGATATTAAGCAAGGTTGAGGCTTGCTTACCAGAAAATGAAGAGGATGAGATGTTGCTTATGGATCTACAATATTCTCCTGGAATCCTCTATCTTCTTCTTCTTCTACAAGCTTCAAATCACACAAAGTTCACTAAAAAATGGCTCACAAACTCACACAAGGCTCTAGGGTTTCGTAGATTAGGGTTTGGGACTTAGAGGCTGGAAATTAGGCCATAAAAAGGGGATTAAGATGCTTAAATAGGGTGCAAAACCCCGAATTTAGGGTTTCATCCTGACAGCCCAACTCGTCGAGTCGAGGCTTCTCAACTCGTCGAGTAGGCGACTTAAATCTCGCGTCCAATCTCGTTTCTACTCGTCGAGTCTGGGGCTCCCAACTCGTCGAGTAGCTCTTCAAAAATAAATAAATTAGGAATCAGGCGTTACAATTCTCCCCCACTTGTCTAAGACTTCGTCCTCGAAGTCTGCTGCGTCGGGAAACAACGATGGGTAGTGCTCCCTCATCTCCTCCTCGGGCTCCCAAGTCCACTCTGAACCCTTGCGGTGCTGTCACTGCACCTTCACCAGCTCAACCCTCTTATTCCTCAGCTCCTTCGTCTTCTTGTCGAGAATCTCTATGGGTCTCTCGATGTAATTTAGGATGTCATCAACCTGAATGTCCTCTAGAGGCATAACCAATGATTCATCCACTAAGCACTTCCGCAGCTGAGAAACATGGAAAGTGTTGTGGATCTGGCTGAGCTCTGCTGGAAGATCCAAACGGTAAGCAACCCGGCCCACCCGAGCCAACACCCTGAACGGACCGATGTATCTGGGGCCCAACTTGCCCTGTTTCCTGAATCGGATGACACCTTTCCAAAGGTGACACCTTCAGAAGGACCATGTCGCCCACCTGAAACTCCAAGTCTGAACGCCGCTTGTCGGCATAGCTCTTCTGCCGACTTTGAGCAGTCTGGAGCCTGCTCCGGACATGTTGGATCCTCTCTGTAGTCTTGAGTACTACCTCAGTACTCCCCATGACTCTCTGACCGACCTCGCCCTAACAGATTGGGGTCCTACACTGTAACGCCCGTGTTTTGAGGCTAAGCATTAGTAGATGATGTAATAGTCTAGGTCAACTATTGTAACTCTTTTTGAAGTAATAAATATGAAATATTTGAGTTTTATGTGAATTATGTGAATTTATGTGTTTTATACTTAATTATAAAGGTATAATTAATAAAGAATAAAAATAAGCGTCAAAATTAA